TGCAAAGCCTCTTAAATTTCCGACAAAACTATAAAATTTCCGACAATCCCCCCCCCCCATTTGCACTCGAAAAGGCTGTTTATAGTCCTCTTTTAGGTCAAAATTTCCGAAAATTCGTCATTTTCCGAGAAGGTGGGGGGGAGGGCGCCCCAGCCCCACTAAGATTTAAAATAGGGGGGGGGTCTAAAAAGTTTTAACACAGAGAAAGGGGGGGGGGGATCAAAAGAGTTTTTGAACTTAAATACCATGTCTAGAGTTCTGATTTCTATAATCACAAAAGAAGACTCTGAAAATGCCATTTCAAACAATCTAGAGAATCAAAATTTCCAACCATGGTTGCGCCTTGTGGGAGTCGGACCCACTAAGTTTAACAAGCTTCCTACCCCCTCCTAGTTGTGGTACTGTTAACTTTTCAATCCACACTGGGGGGGAGGGGGTCAGAAAAGTTTCTACTTTAATGAGGGGGGAAGCACAAGTCCCTTCAGTCTGGAGGGGGGGGGTGGAGTCAAAAAAGTTTTAAATCCTTATTTTCCCCATCTACCAAATGCCCCTCCCAATAAATAATGACCACTCCCTAAGTAAACTTACTTCATGATGGCAAAAGACTGCATACTTCCACCAGTGACTCCTGATCTTTTCAGTCTTTTTACAAGCCATTTGCGAATAAACTCATGGCATTCAGACGCATGTCCTTCTGAAAATATCGCCACACCAGTCTTTTCACCACAAGCCTTTTCCACAACAGGATGACTGTCAACTAGAAAAACCTTTCCAGCAACACAACCAATCAATAGCACGTACTTGCCACAGGTGTAAATGGCCACAGATACCTTAGAATCACCGCTCTGTCTTTGCAAATTAAGAATCGCATTCCTAAGCAACTCTTCCCCATTCGTGGAAAAGACACAACTTGACGATATAATTTCCTCCGTTAGATCATATAATTTGTTAATAACACCAGCTTTTTGTAATATCTGACATGCTTCTTGGGCGTCGTACGTTCTATCAGGATCTCTTAACATGTTGAAATATCGCGGAAAGTCATTTATAACTTGTTCTGCAGTCTCGATAATTTTGTCTTGCATAGCGTGTTGTAAAATGTTTGTTAACTCCGTATCCGATAAAAGCAAATGAGCAAGAGTTACCGATATAAAAGCACACGCATTGACGGCGTTGTTGTCAAACAATTCTTCGTAGTTAAACGGAATTCCAACAGCAAAATCATTGTCAAGGCGCTCAAGTGCTGTGTTCTGACTTACTGATAAAGGAACAACTCGCACATGTTTGGAATTTGTTTGCTCGAGTGACATCTTAAACTTAGTAAAATCTTCACGGTATATCTAGATAATTGAATACTCTGAGTCTCTGACCAGCTAGAACGTGTACAACACAACGTGGAATGATTTAAACCATACTCGACGTGCGGTATTTTCCCGTAGTTTTACTTTAAAATGTTGCAAAGTTGGTTAATATGTTAAATACTGTAACTTTGTTACTTTTTAGTGGAAATATACGGGAAAATACGGGTAGGGATAAAACGCTGAAACTGAATCGCGGAAACGGAAACTGAAAGCGGAAACTGAAATTGGGGGAAAAAAGCTGAAATGGGGGTAAAACGCTGAAATGGGGGTAAAACGCTGAAATGGGAGTAAAACGCTGAAATGGGGGTAAAACGCTGAAATGGGGGTAAAACGCTGAAATGGG